ACCAGCTGTGTTCTCTCTGTTCCACTTTTTTTTCTATTTTTGCCTTTTCAAAGATAAATTTAATATCGTTTACAGGGTGACTGCTGATGGCGTCATTGCAAATTGTCACAACGCAAAAAAAAAGATAAATTTGATGAAAAAGCAAAAAACTTTCTTTTCAACATTTGATACATCGAGTAACAGCACCAGCTGTAGCAGTGGCAAAAATTGGCGACAACAAAAAAAAGAAAAACAAGAAAATAACCACAAACAGAACAAAATATGCAAAACTAATTCCTTTTGTTAACAGTGAGAAGTTATGAATGACAAATGACGTAAACCTATAGCCTCTCTTTAGCAACAATTTCATTTGCACTAAGAGCTACTTTTAGAACAAAGAAACGAAGAAACAAAAGGAAAAAAATAAAAGAAATTGTAAAATAAAAAAACAAAAACAACAACGAAAGTTTAGAAAAAAAAAAAGAAGAGAAAGTAAAAATAGATTTTTTTTATTTTTTAATAGTTAAAAATATTACCAATTATAAGCTGTAAGCTTAGATAATTATATCACGCCGACTCATCGTTTCTACACGCAGATACATACATATGAATACATATAACAATGAATGCATGTGATTGTCTATGTACATCACATTCACTAATTTCTGTCCTTGACAACCCCCCTTCCCCCTTGTTCAATTATACACAAGATTCAGTAGTCACCCAAATATGGCTGTTTCCTTAAAATACCAAAAAAAACAGTCTTGAATTCTTAAACACCTCCCTATTGTTGTTCGCATTGCATCACTTTGGACACCAATATCACCAACATCACCACCACCACCACCTCCACATTTTTGCTTCCTTTGTCCCACATTCATTGTTATTGCACAAAGGCAGCACCATATGCTCAAAACAGTGATGTGTATTGAACAGCAGCAAGTTTCAAGTATTTCAAATAAAAATCTCCTCCGCCCATTCTCCTCAACTTCCTCCCCGTCCTTCTCCATCTCTCCCAAAATTACAGCTACAATCATTGTCATTGTCATTGTCAACACCATGACCATCGTCTACTTATACATCATGTTTCCTTTCTTTTCCTGTATATTTCTAAAACTAAAATCTGTGTAAAGCTTTAAAAAAAGAAAGCAAGAAAAGAAACGTTGTAAATAAACAAAACAGTAAACAGTCAAAAAACATAGAGTATAAAATATAAAAAAATTTAAAAATATAAATAACTTTTTCAGCAGTCAATTTTTTTTAATCAACCAAATAACATAAACACACTCACACACATACAAATATACAGATTTAGAAAACAAGCGCAATTTGATCGTTTTGAAAGAAAAACCACTCTATAAACTGCAGAAACTATTCGGTTGATTTGTCAATAAATAAGCTGAAAAAAAAAAAAAGTACTGAAATGAAAAAAATATAGACAAAGATAAATAGAAAAGGAAAAGTTATATTGAATTTGTGAAACGTATAGTTCAATAATAAATGCGTCACTTCTTTAAAGTTTATTGTATGCGGCTTAGTGACACAACAAACAAATAAACTTTAAAGAATTAGCAGATTTTGATATGTCACCTAATGGTTCTGAAGATAAACTGACTGTGAATTAATTTTTTTTTTTTTTTTTTAACTACAAAGTCCAAAATAATAGCATTGATCAAATGTTGTAAATATTGTAGCTTTAACAGAAAAAAACTTTTTCTATAGATTACAGATTGAAATAATTGAAACGAATTGAACTTTCAGAGTTGTGTTTTGCGTTACCAACAGCATCAAAACCATTGTTAAAACTGGCGGAATAATGCTCAGATGACTTTATTTTTTATTTTATTTTTTTTTTTTTGGATTTCGTCACCATGCCATCATTTTTGAGACTTAAGACCAAACCGGAAAGCTCAGATCCTAGTAACTTATCTGCATTTCTATACCTCATAAAATGTATAAATTTATAATTAATTGAAATTCAGTTTATTGTTCATTCAAAAAAAAAAAAAAAAAAAA